AGAGTAGAGGCCATCTAATAATTGTGTGTAGATCATAAATTAAACTCATTTGAATGAGTCCTTAAAACTAGGTTAGACACGTTTCTTCTATAAACAAAACCTAAGCATGTGACTACTAAGTGTTTAATGCCCTACAACATGAAATGGTCCCACCAATACAACCTCGTCACCTAATAATCTAATATCACTTCCATGCTGCAAATTTAATTATATGATATGATATGATATATAATATGATGCACAACGTAACGTAACGTAACTTCACACCATCACTCACTGCATGCCTTAACTCTTCCATGCATTACTCTAATTTATTGTGCACCTCTGCCCAGCCTCCCTTTATGTTAAATGCGAAAATGATATCACCTCTATAGGGTTCCCTGCAAAAATGCTACAAATACTATAACCTTTTTTTTTTTTTTTTTTTTTTAATTCTTTTTTAGAATCGAACTATTAGACCAAGTTTCTGCTGACACTTGTTGTTTCATTCACCAGATTCAAATCGGAGATCAGATTGCTTGAAAGTAAATTCATTCAACTTGAGCTCAACGTTGTAAAAATCGGCTTAGGCGGCCACCTAGGCGCTAGGCATCCATAGGCCAAGGCGATTTCAGCCCTAGGCGCCGAATTGGGCGCCTAACATGGCCGAGTCAGTGCCCAATTGGACTAAGTCGACACTCAACTTGGGCTAGTGTTTTTTTTTTTATTTTTTTCTTCTGTTCAGCTACTCTTATATATTTTTGCAGCCATGCATGTACTCAACTAACCATCTAACATATACAGTTAACTAGTTTGGGGATTATAAAAGTCTAACAACTCCCATAGACGGAGCCAGAGGGCCCTGCCCCCCCCCCCCCCCTCACCCCACCCCACCCCTACCCTATATTGTATATAATATGTATATATAGTACATTATTCATATAAGTATATAAAACAAATTATGTAAAAAAAGGTTGTGATAGACAAGGTGGTAGTTGATGTGTATGAGTTTTGGAATGGCTTGGGTTCGAGTTTTTGCATTGATAATGTCACAGTCTTCTTCACTTTTTTGATTAACACAATTAAATTTTGGCATGATATATATAACTTCCATATAACTTTCTTTATATTAATAATGGAATGTGTAATTTATAATGCGTTTTATATTCGAATTGTTTTATCAAATTAATTATGTTTTATATTTTGTTATAAATATTTTTATAAAATTTTAATATGTTTTATTTTAAGCTATATCCAACAATATTTATTGTTATACTTTTTAAGTATTTCATTTTTTTTAAACATTCTTTTTTATTTTAATTTTTTTCCCTCACTAAAAAAATTTTATGAATCCGCCATTGAATCCATCCTTACTTCTTTGCCCCCCCCCTCAACATATTTTCTGGCTCCGTCCCTGACAACTCCCAGTTCCGATTGGGAAAAGTGGAGACGGTCGGCCGTCTAGGTGGTGCCTAGGTGCTCTAGGCCCTAAGCGTCCTGAGCACCCGACTAGCGCCTTCTGCAACATTGCTTGAGCTAGAAATATAATTGTTGGTAGAAATGACATATTTTGCTATTGTTGTTGTTTCAAGTGTGTCTGTTGTGGTATTACTACTAATTGGGAGTGACGGATAAAACACAATAATTATATTATCAATAACATGTTACAACGTCACTAGCTTAATAAATGAGATTAAGAAATTTCATTCACTAATGAGAGATGATTACTTCCATTGAAAGATGAACCACCTATATATGCTCATGTCAACAACTTCTATACTCCTAGGTTGATGAGGATAAGGACCATGTTGATAATCCTTTGAGAGTGCTTATAGGCCTAATTACAACTAGGACTAATTAAGGCTCTTTTGGGAAAACTGTGAAAGTAGAATGGTTAGAACGGTAAATGTCAAATTGGAGTAAGGTAAGGTTCAATCAGTGGTGCAAACAAGTCAATAGAATTTACTCGAAATAGGTGGTGATTTGAGTTCAAGTAACTTAGGCAAACTCAAGTTTGGTTCGATTGGCTCAAATTGAATCAGAGCTTTTATCAATTATAGTTGGACTTGCATTCAGCTCATAAATTATATTTCGCCTAGAATTTGACTCTCTCTAAATGGCTTGTGAACAACTCGATTAGCCATAAGCCAACAATTTTTAAGCTCACGAGTGGTTCAACTCGTTTGCGCACACCCAAATTTAAAGAGTCTTCAAGTATATACTCTTTTTTTTTTTTTTTTTTTTTTTTTTTTGAATGATGAGGAAAACCTCACAACCCTTTCGGGTGTAGACAAAGGACCACAAAGAAATAAATTAGCCTAAGTTACTCATAGTTAATCGACTCAAACTAAGGGGACAAAGATTCAAACTCGTGACCTTGTACAAGCATATATCTATTGTCATCTTGGCTGGGATTACCCGTCTTCAAGTATATACTTTCTTTCTTTTTAGATAATGAGGAAAACCCCACAATTCTTTCTGGTGTAGGTAAACCCTGCTTTGTGACCCTAGTTGGCAAAGGAGCACAAGGAAGCAAACCAGCTTAGGTTACCCATAGTTAATCGGCTCAAACCAAGGGGACAAGGATTCAAACTTGTGACCTTGTAATTACAAGTGTAAATCTCTTGCAATTTTGGTTGGGGTTACCGTCTTCAAGTATATACTTTTGTTTGCACACTAGTAGGTTGGCATAACAGATCTCTCCAACTCAATGAAGCATTCATGGTGACAATAAATGGGCTGCTACTAATCAAGAAACAGCAGCATCACCCACCAACCGTGGGTTGTGCACAGACAATCCCCAATCCATATTCCATACACAGATGATCAAAAGAGGAGAGAAGAAGAAAACAAAAAAAGGACCGAATTACCAAATAGACAGCTATACTAAAACCAAGAAAACCGGAATACTGAGTGCTGGCTTGGAGAAGGACAGGCGGCGCCGATCAAGGACCAAGTACAAATTTATAGACAGTAAAGACACATCAAGTGGTCTGAGATATTGCTAACAGGTCTGTATCAGTACCACCATTAATGGCGCAGAAAATATTTATGACTATATCCATTCACCAGTAAATACTATTAAATCCACATGAAAAAAAAAAAACTTAATGTAAGTGCAGAGGACGGGTGTAGGGGCCAAGTGACGCATTTTCTTGAAAGCAAAAAACAGCGCAACATTAATGCATACAGCTACTGCATGCATGTTTTCCAGCAAACACTACTTTCTGTGAGAAAAAAAGGTTGTTCTTTATGATCATCTTCCAGTTCCCACTATTTCCAAACTAGATTCAATAGGAACATGCAAAAAAAAAGAGGTAAGGAACGATGAGAATTAGCAGTTCCAGGTGTACAGTGAGGCTTGAGGCAATTGTAAAGGTTGCAGTAGTAGATCCAGGACAGTAGGTTTAGTAGCTTGGTTAAGGATTAGAAGTAAAAGCAGTATAAAGGGAAATTTCACAATGCACACATATAAATTCGATTGTAAAGAGGATGTAAATCGCGGGATGTGTCTTGATAGTGCAGTGATTTGAGTTTTTGCACTGACCCTAGCATCCCACCCTTTGCGGGATTCGACCCTAGGTACTCGCTAAATATTACCCAAAACTCAATCTTTCCATCCACCAAGCTATGCCCCGGGGGCGGGGGCTGCCAGAAGTATATATGAAGATAGTAAAACTTGTAAAGCATAAAGTACAGCAACATTATAAAATTTTCCTAAAGGATGAGATAAAAAGGCAAGGCTACCAATTTAGGTGGTAATAAGCAGCGAGAAACAAATCCTCGTTTCCCTTTTTCTTTTAGGCAGCAAAGCAGAACACATGCAGTCATGTATGAATGATGTATTTCAACAATAGATTCAACAAACCAGAAAATTAGTCAGTATAAGCTTCTTACTAATTGAAGGGGTTCTACGCACTTTGGTCCAGAATAAAACACAAGTATAAATATAATTCAAACAGAAGGTTATAGCAATCACATATTTGATTAGTGGATAATAAATATGATTGGAGAAAACAGTCCTTTTCCCTCCTCCTTATAAAGGACTAGTCATCCCCCCTTCAAAGAAAAAGTAAAAAGGATGCATAATTGTAAGGAACAATGAGTTAATGACACTACCAAATAGCTGAAATGATATCAACAGGGAAAGAGAAGAGGTGTTGACTAAAGTGATCTACTATAGCATAGCATCTAATATATATATATATATATATATATATATAAGCATACAGGTAAAATATACATAAACCTAGTATGCATACACACAGTCAACTACATCATGTGTAATCCAACAAGATATCAACCACAAAGTACACAATCTTGGCTCTAATTTCCAAAATGAGCCTCTGACAAAAACAGAATGTTACTCCATGCCACTTTTTCCAGTGTATATATGGACTTCAAGTACTACAAGTCATTTTTCTAACCATTAGTATTAGATTATTGTTTTGGAACCTGACAACAAGGAAATCATCATGCCATATATATATATATAGACTCTTTACCATTATTTATGCAAGTTACCCATTAAGGAAAAATTGTATACTACATGATTGTTTGGAACTTTTCTAGTAAACTACAGAGTACTAAACAACTCAAAATAAATTCTTAGAGCCATAAATCCCAACTTTTATGTTTCTTCTAATAGAAGGGTTAATAGGTATTCTAAACCATATGTTCAGTCAATGAGTATTCTAATACACACACACACTTCAAATCTCTAGATAACTGATTGAAGTGGTCACATCCCACAGCCAAACAATGAATTTAACTTGCAAAGCTTATTTCTTTAATTTTTTGTACTCATCTTCCAGTTCCAATCACATGCTCAGCTCTTCACAAATACATGAAAATAAATCAGAACCTTAATCATCACAAGCAGTCCAATCTCCAAAATTTCATAGCCAAATCAACTCAGAGCTCACTTCTCTGGCACATATACAAAGAAAGCAATGAAATTCATGCATGGGTATCTCAGGACCTACAATGAACTTCTATGAAAGGTCACTCACTCTAGAAAGTAAACATGAAAAGCATGCAATATTCACGGCTTTGTGATCTGACAAAAAATTATACATCATTTACAAATCATTGAAGTAAGGAAACTTACTATTTTTTGTGTGTAAAAGCCAAAACGAAGCAGTGTAAATTCTATTGAACTTCATCAAAGGTATACTATGCAACAAAACTTGATCAAATACAATGCAATTAGAATTACATGGACAAAAGAGACATACCTATAACAAGAAAAAATTTATGATGACATCCTCCATGACACCAACCATTTTCTTTAGTATGATCAGTAAAATAAACCCCCAACTAAAACCTTTTGGGATCAGTGTTGATACTGGACAATATGTGATTTATGATTACTTCAGAACTCCTTTTCTTCTATGCCCTTTCAGATTGCTGGGAATGATTGATACAGAATCGACACAAAGCCCACCTTTTGAATGTGTGCAATCAATCTGTTTCATTGAAAATCTAACCTCAGTTTCAAGATCTGATCCACTAACAATGAATTCTCCAACCTTGTACTCTATCCAGTACCCACGCTTGCGATACCCATTTACATCATCCTGTACAGCATCATCCAAGCAGCACTCACTCATGGCATGCTGTCCATCCGAAGTAGAGAACTCGAATCTCACTGGTTTTATATGCCAACCATGAGTATGTTCAAAATTGCAAACTCGTCTGCCTAATCTCTTACTGAATCTTCCAAGATGAATCCTGAATGATAGAGTATAGATATCTGGAGGAAAAGGAAACCTCACCACTCCATCAACTTCAAACCACCATATTTGCTGCAAATAGGCCACAACATGGAATCTAAAACAAAATTGATTAAAAAAATAATTATTGCAAAATCTACTGAAGTAATTGTATTGCTTACCAAAACAGTCCAATAAACATAAAAGAGGTTTGTGAAGTTGAAGTTCATAACTGATAGTATTCTCAATTAAAAAAAAATCCCGTTACATTAGCAACATAAATTTGGTTCACTGATGGAAGATTCTTGGCATCTAGAATAAAGAAAGTTAAGACGTCAAATTTCAAACAGTTAATTCCATGAAATCAGATGGCAGTCAGGCACATTCATATCCTATAGAGTGCGCAGATGAATTTCACAAAGTCAGGATGATCTGAATCAGGCAAACACATTCATACACATAGTGTTGCACTTAGAATCACTTGGCAGAATCCCCTAAGGACAGCAATATTCTGAAGTCCACAACAGTATCATCTCTTTCTTATAAAACTTGGAAGCATTTTCAATCTTAAAATGTAAGAACAAACTGGAATTGATTTCACAATAAGCTCTCTCTCTCTCTCTGTAAATGCAATCCAGAGAGACAAGAAATCCCAATAATTAAAAACATATTTTATATATAAAAAAAAAAAAAAGTTTAGGGTTTAATTATACATACCCTTCCACCATAGTTTTATTTCAGCTTAATAAATTTGCCACTACCCACAACATCCAATATCCTGACATACTACTTTTCACTAACAAAAGTTCTTAGGATCAAGATTATGGGATTTCATCATCTCAGTTATATTCTCTAAAGATAATCCGAAACATGTCTGTTTTAAAGTTAGTCATAAATCTAAATAAAGGAAAAGAAAAACATAAATACAATAATAGAAGCTCATAAGAGTACTATGATACTTCAAAAAGGCTCAACTAAACCAGTTGGGTTGTGCTCCCTTTCAAAGAAAAGGTTGAGTTTTATCAACTCTCAACATCTTGGAACTTCAATTTCCACCTGAACACAAGCCTAGAGACTTTAAACACAATAATATGTTTATGCAGTCAACTGCTATCATGATAAATAGAGTAATTTGGATAAGCTTGATATTCATTGCCCTTACACAACCATCATGACTTCAAACAGGGTACAACTTACTTGAGCAGCACTTTGTAATTGATTCTTTCTCACGATTCCACAACTTAAAGTTGACAGCCAACATCAGATCATGATGACATAGATATGCTTTAAGCCACAAATATCACCAAGCACCATCACCAACTCAAACAAATTATATCTATGTCTTCTTTCAAGTGCAAACATGTATCAGGAAAAAAAGGATCCTAAACAACACATATATTTAGCTTTGCATATTATTTTCAATCATATAACCATGACAAATGCAGGATGCATTGTGAATGGAGAAAGAAAAAGGAGTTTCAACAGACTTATCATCTACACATAAAGAGACAAAGTATTACCATCAAATATTAATGAGCTCTCTGCAGCAAATTCAGAATATGATTTCTAACCAACTTGATTATTCCCAATCATTTTACCACATCAGAACAAAGTAGATTAAGTCCAAGTGTCTAACCTAGATTCTTCTGTAGGAAGCCAGTTCCAATATCTCCTATCTTCAATCCCTGTTATGGTCATTGCTTTTGCAGAGATTGACATGCAAATCCTTCCAGTAACCCTATCCAGCCATACTTCCTGTGGGTTCAACACATTAAAAAGAATACAACAGTGAGATCATGAATCACTCTGGACCTCTAAATTTTAGTTCTGAAGTTAGAAAGCAAGATTCCATTACTAATAAGCAATTTAAATCTGAACTTTGCAACAATCATGGTCTTATGTTTCTGTATAGAACCTTCCCCAACCTTGAAGGTTCAGGTATAGCGCATAGAAGAAATATAAATTTTGGGTATGCAGATAGCTACATAAAGATAATCATCTTCAGATATACCACCACCACAACCAAAGGATATCTCTAGTACTAGCATTTCAAAAAATACATGTATATATATCAAAGCTTTGCAATCTAGGCCATGCACCAAGGTATAACCTCAGAGTAGAACTGAACAAACTTCAGAGAAAATAACAGTACGGACAACTTGAACACTTATCTGAATAGTATATCCCAAAGAGAGAAAAATTATAAATTAAAAAAAAAAAAATCACTCAAGATTTTCACAATATTTCAACTGCCTAACCAAATCCCTAATAGTCTTTTTCCTTCAAAGGAATCTAACATCGAAATTGGAAGTTTTGTAAATAAGAACTCCCAATTCTTGATTAAAGGCATAGAAGTCTAATCTTTGAACTTTTCCTCGTACGTAAAATGACAGTGGAGAAACTAAAGCAAACAGCTAAACAAGAAATTACATGCCTTATTGGCGTCATCGAAGGGGACAGAGCGAGAGAAGAGCGCAAAGATGTCTTTCTTGCACAGCCCTTGGTATTTATCTTCAGGCAAAAGGTCGAGCAACTGTTGGTAGTTAGCGGGCAGCTTGGCTTCCCAGACGGCGTCAGATGAGGCGGCGCCGCGGAAGGCGCGGTTGAGCCGAGCCAAGTTGCAGATCTCCGGTGGCGTCAGGTGCAGGAAAACGCAGGCAACGCAGCTCTCGGGTATGTCCCCTAATCCCGGCCCGCCGTTGGCCGACCCGTTCTCCGTTAGGTTCGATAACGACGCGCCCATAAGGCCCCTGTTCTTTAATCAATACCGCCCTTTTTTTCTGGTATATTCTGAAATGAAAATCTGCTCAATTATCGGTGTGGTGAAGGCGACGCCGTGAGCGGTGGTGCGTGGTGGCGGAGAACGTGGACGAGGCGAATAATATATAATGGGAGGCGAGAGAATTTTCTAAACTACCTTTTTTCTGAATTTCTTTTTATTTATTTATTTATTTTTATTTTTTCAATTGACAGATTTCTATGTTTTTATCTTATGTCAGTTATCACGTCAAATTCTCCCCATTTTCATATCCTCAGCCCTCAACGAATCTATCTTTGCTTGCAAGTTGCAACTTCAGCTTTGTTAGTACTCCGTCAAATTATAAATATATTTTATGAGTTTAGATAATTTCATATATTAAAAAATTAGTGCGTAAATGTTACATTAAATTATTAAAATATATAATAATGCATTAAATAATATATAACAGTGTTACTAATTTGGTTTGACTTGAATCACAAAAATTCAAACCATATTCGATCTTATAATTGCATTAGTAATCTGTTTACTAATTATTGCAAGTTAGTGCATTTTGAAAACTCATTTTAATTATTAAATATATAATGGCCTTGTTTGGTAAATGGCTGTTAGCTGATTGTGTTAATTAGAGGGTATCACTAGTTGATAATATTAGCGGTTGTAGAAAAGTGTTTGGTAAATTAGTTGTTAGTTGATAGTTGTTTGGTATAATTTATTTTCTGAAAAAGTTATTTAGAGTAGCTTTTTGAATTTTAGCATTTTGAAGTTGCAAAAAGTTAATTAATCAAACACTTATAATGATATTTTAACTAAATTAAACAATTAATAGTGATCAAATAAGCCAAAATTCGCCTATAGACTAATTTTTTTACCAAACAGGGTCAATATAATTTTAATTTTTATTTCGATTCTCTTATTCAGGTCAAAATACCCCCCTTTCGCTCTCATTTATAATTAGACAAATTTTCTAATGAGACCGTCTCACTAGTCTTAATTATAAGAGATGTTGAATCAAGAGAATTTGGATGTTATGGTATATAGAGTTAGTAATACTAGTATTTTCGCCCGTGTGATGCACAAAATGGATTGAATACTTGGATCGATATATAATTATTTAAATTAGAACATCAAATATTATATAGTGAAATTGAATATATGGTTTGGATCTTTTATGTGTTTTAATGTATGTTATCATTGTTTGAATTTAAGCAAATAATTGCTCAAATTAATAGCTAATGTGTAGATGTACGCATGCGGTGCTTTAACTTTTGAGATTTTATTTATCATTGTTTAGTATATTTTTTTATAAATTAGGCAAATGTGCTCGTTTTCTAGCAACTCAGTTATAGGAATGAATGACTATCTTAATTCATTTGTATGAAAGATATATTTTTGTCTAGATATATAACAATTTTGTCATTAAAAAAAAACATAATATCACCGATTGTATTTACACATTATTAAAACCTCTTTATAGATGACATTGGTAGTATCAACACAATCTTGTCCATACAATCTTGTCCATCATCGTCTAGAGCTAATACATTCAGTCAATGGTAATTAATGATAGAATTTTAGTCAATTAGTGATCCTTTTATATTTCAAGTCAATTAGTAAAATCAAATTCATTTGTAGCCATTATTATTATTTTTTTATTTTTAGCCAATTAGAATATCATATGCAGTGATATTTGTACATAATTTTCGTTCCTATAAGCGGTTTTTTTACCAAACAGGGTCAATATAATTTTAATTTTAATTTCGGTTTTCTTATTCAGGTCAAAATACCCCCCTTTCGCTCTCATTTATAATTAGACAAATTTTCTAATAAGATCGTCTCACTAGTCTTAATTATAAGACACGTCGAATCAAGAGAATTTGGATCTTATGGTATATAGACTTAGTAATATTATTTTCTGTAAACTGTTTATTATCATTTTGCTATAAAATATTACATTTATGTTATAAAGTATTATATATAAGGCTTAAAATACTTCATTATATCTGCAATTTTGTCTATAATAGTTTTTTTTTAATACATACATTATTTATACTATAAAGCATTATAGATAAGGTTTAAAATAGTGATGATATCTCCAATTCTATTATGTTATTACTTTATTCTATGCAAATTGTGTATACTACAATTATACTATAAAATATTATATTTATTATATAATATATTATATATAATGTTTAATGTATTGATTATATCTGCAATACTATTATTACTCATTTTTATTAGATCAAATATGTCTTATGAATTAAGACTCGTGATACGATCTCACAAGAAATTAATCGTTGCAATTAATATACTTTGTATTTAAATTTATATTTTATTTTCTTATAATTTTTCTTTTCATTTATTGGTGGTCGAGTAGTGAATTTTTATAAATTTAAACTTTTTTTATTATTCCCTAAATGTCTATTTAAAAAAAAAAAAAGTATGTAGCATCTGCCTTACTATTGTTTTAAGTCTTATCACTAGAATTATTAATCCCCTTTACTTGTCTTCGTACTAAAGTCTATGTCATGTAAAGCATTAATAATATCTCCAATTATATTAGAGTTAATACCCAAATTATAGTGGTTTTTCTCAATTTCGTCCTAAACGACTTTGGTGACCTAATATCGTCCCAGACTTTTGTGTTTCGCTCAATTTAGTCCCAGACTTTTGTGTTTTTGCTCAATTTAGTCCCTCATTTGTTATTCTGTCCATTTGGTGTTAAATAAATAGACAATTCAGTAATTTTAATATTGGCATTCTTTACTCATAGACATGTGAACTGCGAAATCCTTTTTTTTTTTACGAATTACTCCCAGAATTACTCCTAAAATTGCGAATATAAAATTTAATTTGCAGGTCTGGGAGTAATTCTGGGTGTAATTCGTACAAGAAAGAGGAATTTCGCACTTCACAAGTTGAAAGTAAAGAGAGATCAATATTGACATTACTGAATTGTCCCTTTATTTAACACCAATTTAACGGAATAACAAATGGAGGACTAAATTGAGCGAAACACAAAAGTCTGGGACGATATTAGGTCATCAAAGTCGTTTAGGACGAAATTGAGAAAAACCACTATAGTCGAGGACCATTTTAGGTATTAACTCAATTATATTATGTTACTATTTTATTTTGTGCAAATTTTGTGCAAATTGTATATTACAGTTTTATTATAAATATTACATTTATCATATAATATATAATATTTAAAATATTTATTATATCTGCAGTTTTGTTATGAATCATTTTTTTTATTAAATCCAACATATATTACGAATTAATATACTCTTTATTTAAATTTATATTTTATTTGCTTATAAATTTTTCTTTTCATTCATTGGTCGCCGAGTAGTGAATTTTTATAAACTTAAACTTTTTATTATTCCCTTAAATATCTATTTTTGGAAGTATGTAGCATGTGTCATACTATTGTTTAAGTCTTTTCATTAGAATTATTACTTTATTAGTAAATAATAAACAATTATCCTTTATTTGTCTTCGTACTAATTCTTTAATTTCAAGTGTATGTCATGTAAATATAACCAGAGTACAATTATAGTATGTATACTTTTAAATTCTACTATATCACTTTTCTCCTGATATTGCCTCTAAGGTGTTAGCTTCTTTGGCCAAGGTCATTTAACCGAATCAACCCCGGGCCAAAAAGCTCTTTCGTTCTGCGATAGACGAGGTCTGACCTCGTATCGCTCTTAGGACGTTAGCCGTTTTAGCCAAGGTCATTCGACTCCGAGCCAAAAAGACTTTTTCGTTCAGCGATAGGCGAGGTCGAGCCTCATATCACTATCGCCCCTAGGGCGTTAGCCGTTTTAGCTAAGGTCATTCGACCCCAAACCAAAAGACTCTTTTGTTCGGCGATAGGCCAGATTCGGTCTCGTACCGCTCCTAAGGAGTTGGAGTGAGGAAGTTTAAGGGTCTCGTAGACCACCTTACAATCATTATGTTGTGGAACCGTGTCCACCTTGCAAGGTGGACACGCTTCTATATTCATAATTATTGAACTATATGTTCATAATTATAAAGTTATATATTCATAATTTTTTACCTTCATATTCATAATTATTGAACTCTATATTCACAATTACAGAACTCTAGGTTCATAATTACTGAACTCTTGGTTCATAATTACTGAACTATATGTTATAATTATAAAGCTATATATTCATAATTTTTGAACTTCATATTCACAATTATTGAATCTTTATATTCATAATTACATAATTATATGTTCATAATTTTTTGAACTATATATTCATAATTATGAACAATTTTGAAACCGTCAATCGTATCTACCTTGCAAGATGGACACGGTTCCACAGCATAATTTGCCGCCACCTTACGACCTCCTCCCCCACCTCCCTTGTTGTTATTTAAGGTGTTGTGACTTGAATATATGATTTGCTTTGTTGCACTATTATCTTTGACTACTATATTGTCTATACAAAGAAAGAAAGAAACAACTCATGGACTACTGACTAACAAAAAAAAACTGATGGAGAAGCAAAAGATCATGATCGATTAGAAAGCCCAATCACTAATGTATGACTTTATTTATTTATAGAAGATTTTTTTTAACCACCCAAAGTGGTTGGGAATTTGTCAATTGAAATTTTGTATATAAAAAAATTCAACCTAATTTTGAACATTTTTTTATCACTTTATCAAGGAATAAGGGTCAAATAGAACACTCAACTGCACACCACATTGCAATTAAGTCATCAAACTCAAAAACAATGCAATTAGGTCACTGAACAACAAAAACTCATACAATTCAACCCAAAATGACTTCTTTACCTAGAAATATGCTGACGTGGCGGTTATCAATTTTAAAAATAATTTTAAATAAAATAATTAATATTAAAAAAATTATTAAAAAAAAAAAAAAAAGAGAACGGTCGGAGACGAATCGTCTCCGGCCGTTTTTCTTACTTTTAATTAATTATTTTATTTAAAATTATTTT